CACTTGTAGAATATAATTAACTTTCTGAGAAGTGTCACAACTGATTAAAGAGCAATATCATCAGATGTCACTCAGTTTTAAAGGTCTTATCTGCAATAGGAAACAAACCAATTCAGAAACTGCCAACCAAAAGATGATTATATCTGACCTCCATTCTCCCAATACCCTAAAGCTTGTGGCCTTTTTGCAAACACTATAATTTGCATTCCTTACTCCTAAACATCACAGTAGCCAAGTGGTCTGTCCTGCCATGGAAGGCTTGTGACACTCTTTCCAGACTGGCTGCAATGATGGCCCTCCCAAATGACTGGGCTCCTTGATCATGCGGCCACTGGGCCCATGGGTCTAATTAAGCTAAGAAACACCTTTAATTAACATGGCCTAATGGAGACAACATATGACTCAGGAATACAATTATTGGTATAAACAAAATTTACTCTCCTGCATTGTTCATCATTATGACGCTCACCAGGTGTTCTTCAAATCTACCTTTTTAAAGTTGTGGGGGTTTTTTTAGTATGCTCAAATCATTCTTCAAAAGCTCAATGATATTGATGGCATTCAACGTGAAAACATACATTGTAATGTTTCATTGACTAGCTTTATATGTGGCATTCCCTTAAACACATCACAGATATATCTTTTAATTATTTTATTTTATTCTGCCTAAAATTTTAGTTAGGTCATTCACAATCATTTTCAGTATTTAAAGGATACCACTAAAGATATTTTAGTTATAGGCTTTACCAAAAGCATGATATACTGGGGGTGCCAAAAAAATGTATACAAGCAGGCACTTTGGTCAACATTGCTCAAGCAGTAGTTTGCTGTAATCAGAAGTGTCAGGACGCTGATGGTAACTACTTTGAGCACATCTTATAACTGCAGAAGTCAAATGTGACTTGTATTCATCTTTTGTTATTGGTATATATTGAGTATGACAATTTTAATACACTTTCCTTTCTTAAAATGTGTATACATTTTTGGCACCCTCTGTATATAATATATATATAACATACATACATTATATATAATATATGTATATATGCATATATATCATGTATGTGTACATGTTATAAATTGGCTCCACGAAATTTTATGGGATTGATGGTCTTTCGTGTATTTTCTTGTGAAAAAATGGTCCTTAACTTTCATTTAATCCTCAAAATGGTCTGTGATCATCCCCCTCACACCAAACAAAAATGATTAGGAACCTATGCCTATCGCTGTGCTGTCATTGGTCACTCATGCCTATTGAACACTTGAAATGTGGCAAGTATGAATTGGATTTTGAATAATTAATATGAAAAAGATATAAAATGAATGATATGTACATTGATTACATGTTCAAATAATAATGTTTAAGATATAGTGGGTTAAATAAAATATATTATTAATATTAATTTTATCTGTTTCTTTTTGCTTTTGTTAATGTGCCTACTAGAAAACTTAAAATTGCATGTGTGGGGCCGGCCGAGTGGCGCGATGGTTAAGAACTGGCTTGGGACGCCAGGGGACCCCAGTTCGGATCCCACATATGAGGGCCAGTGACACTTCCCTCTACAGCTAAGATGCTGAAGAACAGCTCAACCTGGAGCTGGGCTGCCGTGAGTCGCCAGGGACGGCGTAGGCTGCAGCCCTTGTGGCAAAGGGGTTGCCATGGGCTACCGTGTGCAGCCAGCAGCCAGCATGAGCAGCCAGCAGCGGCGGTGAGCGGCCGCCCAGAAGCCAGTGACCAATCTGCCTCGCCTGGGAAGAGCACAATGATGGTGCCAACTTGGGCCAGTGAAGCAACGTCCTCCACAACTAGACTGAAGAACAAGAAAGGACAGCAACTTGTCTGTTCCCCTTCCCCCAATCCCCCAGCACTGTTCCCATCCCCCCAATTCCCCAATAAAAATATTTTTTTTAAAAATTGCAGCACTGTTCCCATCCCCCCAATTCCCCAATAAAAATATTTTTTTAAAAAATTGCATTAAAATTTTTTTAAAAAATTTTTAAAAATATTTTTTTTAAAAATTGAAATATAGTGGCTTACTATATTTCTATTGGACAGCACTGGTTTAGAAAAACTCAAATTTTGGTCACAGGTATGTTGCTAATTCTAGGAGGTTCCCACTAGCAAACTATTTCTATAACACTGTACTTCCAAAACTGGATTCTAAGAGAGGTTTTAGCAAAAATGTCAGACTATGCCTAAATGTAACAGAGTTAAAAGCATAGATTTAAACTACTTTCATCCAAATATTCCAGCATAATTTCCTTTAGGCAATCGTGAATTTGGAATAAGTCTGATATCAACTCTAAATGACTGCATAAATATTTGCAAATAATTCATGTGGTGCATTTTGATAAGAACCTTAGAACAATAATGACTCAATACAAACTTTTGCTTTTAGTACATAAGGTGCTAGCTACATTTTAAAGCCCAGAAAACATTATGGGAAATATTCATGAAGAAATATCTCAAGAGAAATTGGAATGCCCAATCATTAAAGGCATATGTGTATGATACTTTTATTCATTAATCTAATTAGTCCCTTATGTGGTGCCTAGGAGGTCTGACACTTAAGTTCGCAAACTTGTTGCAATGATGTTCCTAACCTTTTTTGATATCAGAAGAATTCCTCATTATGAATTTGTTACAATTGAACAAACAGTTCACCCCATTTACTATTTGGAAGTGCTGAAAAGGCTGCATGAAAAAGTTAGATGACCTGAACTTTTCACCAACAATTCATGGCTCTTGCATCACGACAATGCACCAGCTCACATGAGACAGTCTACGAGGGAGTTTTTAGCCAGTAAACAAATAACTGTATTGGAACACTCTCCCTACTCAGCTGATCTGACCCCCAATGACTTCTTTCTTTACCCGAAATAAAGGAAATACTAAAAGGAAGACATTTTGATGACAAGCAGGACATCAAGGGTAATACAATGACAGCTCTGATGGCCATTTCAGAGTTCCAAAATTGCTTTAAAGGGGGGACTAGGCACTGGCGTCAGTGCATAGCTTCCCAAGGGGAGTAGTCAAAGGTGACCATAGTGATATTCAGCAATGACGTATGTAGCACTTTTTCTAGGATGAGTTCACGAACTTAATTGTCGCACTGAGTATTATCACCCCCATTTTATAGATGTGGAAACAGGTTCAAAAAGGTTGACTCAGGGGCGGCCGGTTAGCTCAGTTGGTTAGAGCGCAGGCTCACAACACCAAGGTTGCTGGTTCGATTCCCACATGGGCCCCTGGGCTGCTCCCTCCACAGCTAGATTGAAACAACTACTTCACTTGGAGCTGATGGGTCCTGGGAAAACACACTGTTCCCCCAAAAAAAAAAAAAAAAAAAAAAAGGTTGACTCATTGCCTTTTGAGAACAAGAAATGTCTTGTTCTCCATTGTGTGCTTGGAGGCTAGGACTTTGCTTGGCACATAGTAGGTGCTCAATAAATGGTCAATGGCAGATAAGTGACAGTTTCCTGATCCCAACACAAGCTCCCTCTAAAGAGTGTCTGATTACTACATCCTTGCTTTTTCCAATACCACATGCTGAGAGAGAGTGGTGTACTTAACTAATTTTTTTTAAATTCTCACCATAAATGGATGGGATATAAATATTTTTACTCTGTCAACAAAACTATTGTGTATTTTTGGTTTTTTTTTTGGAAAGCAATCTAGTGTTAAATCATGATTCCTAAACATTACAAGTGCCAGATTGACTAGATATCACACCTAATTGGTTGGCCTGGAATTCAAAGCATTAAACAAGTGGAACGTCTTTGTCCCTCATCCAAAGTAATAAAGTCCAGAGCAGTGCCCACTCCCACCCCAAGGATCGTGATCTCAATTTCTTCTGCTCCTTGGAGTTTTAGGCTTACGTCCCCGCCCCCGCCCCATCCCGGCTGCCTTTCCTCCGTTGTGTTGTCCAATGCACGTCAAACAACATGCCTCTAAAAGTTTTAAGCTTTACTCATGGATTAAAAACAAACACTAGATCTGAGCTCTTTTGAGCTGAGTCCTAGTTTATCCAGGAATCCGCGTCCTGGAGCCGAACTTCTCCAGCAACAACTCCGGTTCTATTCAACTAGTGAGCGCGAGCTGAGCCCGGTGCATCCGCTCACACACACTCGCACGCCCAGGCGCGCTCGCACATACCACTGCAGGGTGAGTCTCGGCCTCACCTGGAGCCTAACCAGAAAGTCTGAGGGGACGTCGCACCCAGTCCCCATCCCTTCCCCGCCGGACCCGGGACAATACCTCGTTCGCACGCCCGGAAAGCCCAAGCGAACACATTCCCTTCCCAGTCTGCCCAGGCACGATCGCTTCTATTTACCGTCTTGTACCACCAGCTTGCGAATGCCATAGCGATAACCCGTTTGCTCCCAGCCGCGCGGCGCAGGAACTGGTAGGGTGCAGTGCGGTAGGCTCGGGGCTCGCACTCCGCCTGCCCTGGACTTGGCTGGCACTGAGCTATGCAAGTCCTGTAGCTGTCAGGTGGGCGGACACCTGGGCGGAGCTCGACGCAGTCCCCCGCCCCGACGGGCTGGCCCCACCCCTCCAATTTGGCTCAGGGCTGGTTAGGGAAGCTGTGTTATTTCTCCGGGCAGCCACGCCCTGTAGCTCTGACTATGCACGGAAGACAGGATCCTGCAGTCCAGTTAAACCACCCCACCCACTTTGGGGGAGGGGGATCCCGAATGAACTTTAGTCCCGTCATCCCCATATTTAACTCAGGTCTCACCCACCAATTTTTCCCGACACCCGCCCCCACATCTGGCTCGCGCCACTCCCAGTGCACTTAGTGCAGGTCCCGGAATCCCGGGCCACCTCCAGCCACCTGCCCAGTTGCGGCACTGAGCCCCTAGCCTTTCCCGGGCCTCGGTGGGGGCGTACCGGGCAGCAGACAGGCAGGCTACGCTCAGAGGAAGCGGCCCGCGGCTCGGGGGGCCGGGGTCCTCCCAGTGCATGGCACTGCGGCTCGGGCAGGAGTGCCACTCACCTCCTGGGTGTGGCTGGCCGCTGCAGCGCGCCGGGGCCGCGGGGAGGCGGCGGGCTTCTGGCCCGGCTGGGACATGGCGAGGCCGCGACGAGCGCTGCCTCCGGGAGGACGCAGCGGAGACTGCAAGGGAGGCCCAGGCGGGGAGCGCTGGGAGGGAGAGAGGAAAAGAGAGGGAGCGGAGGGGGCGACGGGGCGCGCCCGTGAGGCAGCTTTTCCGACCCAGCCCCGAGCCCGTTCGGGGGCTGCCCCTCGACCCGCTGGGCCCTCCCCTTCCTGCCAGCTGCAGGCTGTAGCGGCCCGGGCCTGAAACTTAACACCCTCGGCCCAGAGTCCTCGCCCAGTAACCCTCCCCGCCCCACCCCCAGAACCCTTCGGTTCTCGGTGGGTCACAGAGAGGAGGCACTGGAGGTCGCCGGGTTCCTCCTCCGACTTGCCCAGACTGATCTTGCAGTTGTGCAGCCGGAAAGCGGGACCCGGGCGTGGCCCGTCTACGTTTCCCCCCTTCTTCCTGAGAATCTCAAGTTGACAACTTTTCTGCAGTCTGCCCTGGTTTAGCTAGAAGAATTTACCAACTCAAATCTAGCCCAAGCCTGGACCGTCTGGATAAGAAAGCGGATCACAAAAACAAATTGGTCCGTGTGTATGTTTATGGGTGCGCGCTCCTGTGTATGTTTTATGTCATTTTACTTTGTTGTTGTTGTTTTTTTTGGGGGGGGGCAATTTTGAAAGTTTATGTTTTATTGGGAGAAAGCCGTAGGTCCCAATCCAAATCGAAGGACAGTCCCCAATTTAAACCCCTCTAGCCTTTCTGGAGTCTGGCGGGTTTTCTTTACAGGAGGCTGGATTGCTTTTGTCTTTGTCTCATCTTAAACAGCACTTCCTGGTTTGGGGTGGAAGTGAAATGTAACAAACCTCACTAGAAAACGCGCGTCTGCAAGAGACTGTCAGCCTGCAGTTGCTGCTGGTTTGTGCTCACACCTGACAAAAACCTTTTACCCCTGCAATGGCATTGACACTTGGGGCTTCGGGGTCACCGTTCTTTACAGTGTTGTGTTTTATGCAGGGAGAGGGGGAGGGGGAAAGGGAGAGGGAGAGGGAGAGGGAGGCCAGATTATAGGGAAAAATTTGTCATGCTATATGGAGCTTGGCAGAATGGAATTGTTGCTTTTTCTCATTTTTAGAGATTCTGACTTCCCTTTCCTCAAGGGACTGGCTAGCCTCATTCTTAATGGGGGGAGCAGGGAAGGATGATTTAAATGCATTTCTTCCTAAAGGGTTCTACTTACTATTTAGGGGTGTAGTATTTCCAACCAACAGGCTGTAGTGTAGGAATTTAATCATAAAAAATGAAACAACTTGAATATGGGGTCTATGATTGTCCTTTAAAAAAAAACTGATTGGTGGCATCAATTGCATGCATAGTTGGCGAAAATGTCATAAGCCTGAAAAAAAATGTTTTTATGATTGTGACCAAACAATTACAGCACTTTAAGCAAACACTAAAACTATATGGGTGAGATGATAGGCAGCTCTATCCCGCCCCACCTTGGGCCCAGAAACTGGAACCATTTTCTTACTCAGGAGCCTAGAGGGCCTCGGTTCAGGTGTTAGATCCCTGAGTTCATTATTCTATTAATAACTCTGGAAGAAGAATGGCTCCCATTAACTTTGAAGTGTTTTCCAATGGAACATTTATAATGGAATTTAAACCAGTGAGTTTTATATATTTCTTGAAAGTCTTCCGTGTATTATCACTGTGAAAGGAATTGTAGAGGTAGCAATATAAAGATGAAAATACACATTTCCTGCCCTCCAGGGACTTACAGTTTAGCTGAAGGCATATGGCTTTTGTAACTAACACATGATCATTTGAGTATCATTTAGAGACATACAGCATGTGAATAAGTACAAATGTGCTTTGAGAGTTTGGGGTTCGGTGGGTTTTGGTGATTACAGGAAGAAGGAGGCTTGTGTGGGCTGGCTGCTGGTTGGATGTGGACAGAAGAAAGGGTGGGGGCAGTTCAGGAAACACAGAGGTGCCCATCCACTTGGTTGGAGCTGTTGGTCCAAGTCAGGCGTAATCCATCCATTTATCAACTTATTTATAAAGCAGCTACACTGTGCTCATGATATAGTGGATACCAAAATCTGTGAGTGATAATGAATGACCTTAACTTTCAGGCTTTGCTTAAGGGTCAAAACACATATAAGCAGAACAATTGCGGGCCAAACAGTGCATTGATGACGATACTTGTAAGTAAAGAAAAATTTCAAAGAAGTTAAAGATGAGGCTGATGTTCTCACTTTCTCTTGCAGTCATTGAGGAATTTGAAACTTTGATAACATGACCAGCTTTGGAGTATCTTGGGGAAGCTCATTTTAAATATATATGGCAACTTTTGCTACATTTTAATTTGCACATATTGTTAAGAATGTTATTCTTTTATTTGCTCAGTAATAGGATGCCTGCTATATGTCAGACTCTGTGGAGGTAGCAGGACCTCCTACACTTAACGACCTCACAGTCCAGTAGGAAAGACGGACAAACCACAAGCACGTGACCATGGGATAAGGGCAGTGGCCTGTAGAAGAAGTACCTCAAGAGTGCTGTGGGATCCTAAGGAGGGGCTTTTCATTCTGACCCAGGCCCATGTTTGACTTGAGTGAGTTGAAATGCCCTTCAAGTACCGTATTTCCCCTTGTATAAGATGCGCCCTTTTTCGAAAAATTTGGGGTCTAAAAACTGGGTGCGTCTTACACAGTGGTTGTAGATTTTTTTTACTTGCATTACCCACTGAGGATGAGGCAATATATGAAGACAGTGATTCGTCATCAGACACAGATGAGGACAAGCTAATGGTTGGGAGTTTTGACAGTGATGAGTTGTCTGAATTTTATGATGAATAAAACTTGAGTAATACATTTATTATTTTTTATTACTATAATAATAATAATATTTATTATTATTACTCAATAATACTTGAGTAACATCATAAAACTTTATGTAATACTTTTTTTTTTTCAAATTTTGGGCCCCAAAATTAAGGTGCATCTTATACATTCGAGCGTCTTATACATAGGGAAATATGGTAATCTCCATATTTTCTCTCACCATTCCCATAGTTGTTCGGGAACTCATCACTTCTCAGCAGGAAACATATAAAATGAAAAAGAAGATAGGATGGAATCCAGAGAAGAAGGCAGTGGAGCTGGAGAATAAGGAAGCTAGTAGAAGGGGGTGCCAAAGGCCAAGGGAGGGGGCCTTCTAAAAGGAAGGGCTGGTCCACAACATAAAATGTCACTCAAAGGTTGGGTCAAATAATGTATGAAGAGTGTCCCTTTGATCTGACCATTGAGAGATTTTTGGTAACCCAGCTCATGGATAAAACTGAGAAGGCAGAGTGTTCTTTTGAGGTACCCACAGTTTGGCTAGTCCCCTTCACCTTAGATGGTATTTCTTTCAACACCACTACATACCCCTGGAAGGGAAATTACCCCCAGACAACCTAGTCCTCTGGCTGACATTCAAGCATCCTCCAATTTCACGGACACTTACCTGTCTTACCCACCACCTTAAGATTTTCAGCCAAGTTTGCTCCACTCCATAGTGATGTTTTCCTGAGTACCCCGGGGGGTGGGGGGCTGGGGGGGGGGAGGGAACAATCCTTGTAAATAGACAAAGACTAATTAGAAAAAATATGCAAAGGCTCTCACAGCCTTGTAACGTGCATGTATCTGAGTAGGAGCTTCCTGCTTCTGACTGTTGAATTATGCAGAACAATGGCTGCAGTGGTGAAGTTCTGTGCATAAAGAAGAGAAAGGTGTGCTAGCCAGTTGGGGAATGGGTTTAGACAACAGGATCCTTGCCATGTGCTATGATCTGAATGTTTGTGTTCCCTCAAATTCATGTTGAAATCCTAATGCCCATCATGATGGCATTAGTAGGTGGGCCTTTAGGAGGGTATTTGGTCATGAAGGTGGAGCTCTCATGAATGAAATTAATGCCCTTAGCCTTTATAAAAAGATGTCCAAAAGAGCTTCTTGCCCCTTTTACCAGGTGAGGAAACAAGAAGTCTGCAACTCAGAAGAGGGCCCTCACTCAAACATGCTGGCACCTTGATCTTGGACTTCCAGGCTCCAGCACAGAGAAATACATTTCTGTTGTTTCTAAGCTCCCTAGTCTGTAGTATTTTGTTATAGCAGCCTGAACGAACTACAACACTGTGCTTCTCAGATCACACTAGGCTTGTGCATGGATAGCAGATGGGATGGAGGGAGCGGGGGAGAATGGAGATGGGAGGATGGAGGCACAGAGGCAGAGGAGAAGAAAGAGAGCAAGCAGCAGAGAAAGTAGTTTGAAATGTTCACTGCTAGCAAACAAGAGCTTGAGTCACACACATACCTATAGCTAGGCCCTTGGGGTTTATGTCTCATCCTCTATGTCCCTCCAGATAGTAAAACACCTGTGAAATATCTTCAGTCCTGTTCTTCAGCATGACACAATTCCCTGCTTCTTGTCCGTGTGGACCAAAGAGGGCTGAGATCACCTCTCCTTTTCTGGGGTTTATTAGAGTGCTTTAGGGATCAACACCTAAGGAAAGGAAGGAAGGAATGGACACAGGTTGATGGGGAAGGGGAGCATGGTGGCTCCCTTAAGCTGTGGCATCCTCCAAAGGGGGCTCAGAGATGAGGGTTCTCTGTCGGTGGCACTCCCAGGAGCTAAGGGCTCTTTTATTTCTAAAGGGGATTCAGGTAACTTAGCCATCCATGAAATTCCTCAGTGCTACATTACATCATAAAATGTTGCATCTAGAATGGAGGAGGGAATAAATATTGCAAAAGCAGGCCGCCAAATTGCCATTTAACACAACACTAGGTTTGAAAATTAAATTCCTCCCCCTTTTATAATGACCTGCCTTCAGGAGGGGTCACTGAAGAACAATTTGTTTCACAGAGCAGCCAGGCTATTCATATGACTATTTAGGCATAGAGGAACAACAATTTTACAACCGTGATTGCTAAGAATGGTTAGAAATATAAGAAAAATAAAATTTTTATTTCCTAGTTCTGTCTAATGGTGTTGAAACAAAAATGATTGCTCTATAGGTCTGGCAGCAGGCAAGGAGGTAGGTATCAGATACTCCCTGCTAGCCAGAAAGCTCTAAGGGGCTTCAGCTGTCTTCTGCTTTCCTTGGTAATTCCCTTTGGTTTGCAATTTTCCACCCTTGGGGTTTGGGGTTTATAAAAAGAGCTCAGTTCTCAGAATCAGGACAATCTGCAGGGCAACAACTAACTAGCACTGTGGGA